AGAAAAGTTCATACACGTGATATTATCGACTTAAAGGTGTCTACAGAACCTGACGTAGTAGCTTAATTCACTCTTGTACATAACAGATTAACAATAAATAAAAATAATTTTAACACACTGATAAATTGCTCTAATGAAGAGCCTGGAGGCTAAATAAGTGATTAGTTTTCAAGTTAACCTCCAGTTCAGTTAAGTTGCTTAAATATGTCAAATGAAGGAAAAAAGAATGATCAATTCGAAGCTCCAACATCCTCCCCCATACAACCCACTGGCATTTTGGCCCTGAGGGGCAGAATTTGAGCCAACCAATCTTGAAAAGTTCAAACACCCAGTGTATTGTCTGAGGGTGGAGGTGGGGGATTCTGTACGGAATTTGAACCCATAACCTCCCATTTGGCTTGTTAGCTCAGTTGGTAGTGCACTGCACCGGTATTGCAGAGGTCATCATTTAAAATCCTATACAGGCCTGGATTTTTTTCAGGCCTTATTTTCATTACTGCGATGATCGCTTCCATATTAATTTCTTTGCCCGCAGTTCACATATGATTTTCATATATTTACAGTCAATAGTAATACTTCAATATAATAATATTTTGGTTTGTCGATGATGTGGTACTCTGGAATTTATGAGAAAGCAAGGCTCTGTTCTGTACGATACTTGTGAAATATAACCCCTTTGGTATATAAATCCTGCTATGGTCATTAGCAAAGCTAGCTTCCTTTCCCCAGGCTTGGCCACTTGAAGAAATCCGAGCGGCGCCGGGACGAAATCATGTCGCTAATCATGGCTAATCTTGTTACAGTACCAATTGCTGACCTAGACGCTTTAGCGTTTAACTGTTAATTTTTTTAAAATGTTAATAAAGCAATAGTGCTTATGTTCACTTGCATAAATAAATTTTGGGCCCGAATCGCTTTAGCCCGAGCCACTTAGCTATGATATAAATAATATAAACTCTATTACTATTAGTATCACTTTGGAGGCATTGATTAAATAAAAAACTGAAAAAATGACAACAAAACAGTCTGAACAATCACACAAGCGTCACAACTTAATGGCTTTTATTTTCCTCCATTAGCGAATAGAAAAGCCTTGACTACACTCTGTTCTGTTCTAAAGCACGCAGGAAGCTTCTAGAATACGAAAGAAAAGTGGGAGAAACACTCGACTACGTCTCCCACTTCATGAGTGTTCTAGCCGCTTCCTGCGTGCTTTACTACAGAACAAGGCTTCTCTATTTGTTTTATAAAAAGGAATTCCTTATATTCCCCACGCACTCCTTTCAATTTTCAAAACAAACTTAATTTCCAAAGCGAACAACAGTGTCGTCAGCATTCTCTATACTCTCACAAACCACGCTACAATGAGCCAATCAGAATCCGTGTTAGAATGGTTTACAGAATCTGATTGGCAGAGCAAGATGAGAGCTGTCCAAAATGACAAACCATCAAAGTTCACAATTTACAATGGTTCACAATCTGAAACTGTTCGTAAGGTAAAATTTGACACTTTTGCCTGAAGTTTTTCAGTCTTCATACAGAGTCTGAAAGGGAAATTTTCAGTGAATCCGGTCAAATTATCGCTCATAATAACACGCTAGTTTTTTTTCACATGACCAATAGAAAACAAACTGCTTAAGGCGTGTATTTTATGTACGAATAACAGTCGAAAGATTGCTCGAGATGACAGCGCCGTAACACTTGGCTGATGTGACTGATGTGGCCTTCGGCTCAACTCATCGGAAAGGATATCAGAGCAAGCTCTCAGTTGTTCATTCGAAGGGCGGCCGATGTAATTTCTGAGGCTTGCTTCACTGCTATGACCGGAGATCGCCATGATGAGCTAGCCGCGATGGATTTCAGCATGATCGCAGTTGCTTTGATACCGTCATGATTTGTATGAATTTTAACAATTATGCCAGTTTGGTTACATTTTTCATCATTCCTGTTTTGTTTTGTTCTGTTTTGTTTTTGAACACGAAGCTACATATACCACAGAGTGTTAGCTGTGTTTGATGTTTATTACCGTAAGCTTATAATCGAACCGAGTGTGAAAACCTTTAAAACTTGGACTGTCCGTTTCATTTTCTCTTGAGCCTTTTTGTCTGTGCTCGCGTTATAATAACGTCAATTACGGCGCATGTTTACAAACCTTTGTTTGGTTCTTCTTTTGCTACTCCCCGGCTCGCTTGTTCCGAAATTTCACTTTCAATTAGCAAAAAAAAGCAAGAGAGAAGTCTGGGAAATAGACATTCATAGTGCTAATTTGCTTCTTGGCCAAATATTAATTTCTTTCAACCAATGACAGCACGCATTATATCCGAACTTTACTATAAATGAAGAAACATCATCAAGCGAAGCTGGCGAGAAATGATAAAATCTTGCCATTTGAGTTTCAAAAGATGTGAAAGGAGAGTTCGATAAATCATATGCTGTTGAAATTTTAATGTATTAAAATTATGCAATTAGTAGACTGGCAGTTTGGTGGGTTAAACTAGGTGCGTGTGGCTTGAAGCCGCAAAGTTTACATGCGCCTCGCCACCGTCTTCAGAACTACTACTGGTGTTATATACAGAAGCTTCGTAATTGTTCAGCTGAGAGATCGTCCTCAAAATTTCACATTTGCCCTCGAAGCTTTGCTTCTTGGTCAAATATTCATTTATTGGACAATATCTCAGCCGCGGACTTTATCATCCGACATACCAGCTGCCTGAAGGGGTTTAGTAACTAAAATATCATATTTTTGAACAGCAGATAAACTGCTATTAAGATTGGTAAAGTAAGAAGATCTGGAATATCTAATCTCTGTCAAGAACGATCGCTGAATTTCAGCTATGATTCTTTTTTTTAAATACGTTTTTTCGGAAATTTTGCCAAGCCATACTACCCGCCATTGCTGTTCTGCCCAAAAGTAAAAAAAAAATTGAATAAATAAATGAATAAAAACTACCACGCCTCGGCCCTCGACCCGGTATCCTCGACTTTCGACCAAAAAAAGGGCAAACTCGATGCGCCACAAGACTAAAACCATTTCTAAATAACTGCCTTGCTCACTGTTAGCTTTGTCTCAGAAATATTTTTGTGTGCTCTTAGAGGAAAAAAAAAACAAAAACAAAAACAAGAAAACGATCCCCTTATGAACCGAGCAGAGCGAAACACAGCGAATCGTGTTTAGTTTTAGCCTTTTTCGATAGACTGCGATCTCAGTCCGTGGATTTCTTTTTTCCTCTGCCGTTTGTTTAGTTCCCCTGGAAAATGCTCCTTAATGAAAAGGAACTGTGCCAAAGAACTCGACAAAAGATGGAGCTCAACCATCACATTTCAATGCAAGCAAAATAATTAAACTTCGTAAGAACATCTGCCCTTACATGTCCAGAATGCAAGTAGGTGCTAATTGTTTTTTATTTTATACATACTGAGACTTTCACTACGAAATCTGTTGTCTTAAAACCCAGTTCACAGCTGTTTACAGCCAATTAAATCAGAGGAACGACAATTTCACGAGTGGAGGAAACGTTTCGTCCAATCACGAAGAACCTGTCAGAAGTACTGGGTTTTCGCGCCTTCTCCTCTTCCTGCCCCGTCAGTTTACTTGGAACTTAGCTTCATCGTTGGTTGTGTAAACAGGGATTTAGAGTTCTGTAGTCACACTTATTTATTAAAATTAGCTTTTTGAGATGGCCGAAACCTCAAGTTTACGATTTCTTACGTTAGAAAAGCCCCTTAAATGAGTTTCTTCAGGAGGAGGATGCTGAGCTCAAAGCCTTCAATATGCAATGCCGCGAGCGACGCAAATAACAATACTTCACGCTCTGCTGCAACCACCACTTTGAAGGCCGAAGCAGAGGCTTCGTTTTAACTAAACCGCGATGTTTCCTGCAGCTGGTCCCTTCAGTGGAGCCATGTTCCATGGTGGACAATTCAACATTACTATAAACACTGTGAACAAGTCATCAGGCACTTATGCAGATGGTTTAATTTCTACGGAACGAAGCTACAAACGAATCAAACGAATTCTTGAATCGTCGGATGATGACGGCAGCCCAACACTTCATAGAAAAATTTTACCACTAACTGGCTTTTTAAAAAATATTATTAGAGTGATCGACTTTATTATGAATAAAGCTTGTTTGGAATTTTGTAGAGCTACTTAAGCTCATTTTTACGCATTTAGAGCTACGTTTTTGCAAGTGAAAGCAGAGTGTTCACTTTTATTTGAATGACTTGTAAGCTTATTTGAAAATAAAAATAAAACGAAACAACAAAAAAAAAGTGAAAATCTCAATATGTATGAAAGAAACAAATTAAAGAAGAAACATCACCAACTCGTGCAAAAAGGCAATAAACTTGATAACCAAAACCATTTTCTTCGCAAAAATCAAATAATAACAGAGCCAAAGATTAATTTGAAAGTAATTATGTATGCACGAACCTAGCAAAACGTTAAGTCGAAAACTGAAAAAATATAATCATTTTTGAAGGCGGATTTGAGCGTGGGTGGTCAATAGTTCGATAATGAATACCAGATAGCACCTTATTGATTCAAAGGTATATCATGAAGAAAGGCACCTGCGTTAGACAGTAGTTTGTGCCTGTTAACTAGAAAACTGAATGCTCTATCTAGCGTATGATTATGGATAAAAGTTTCAAAATGTCACATTCAAAGCTAATCAATCAAATTTCTACCTTTTTTTTTAAGGATTTAAGGAGTTTTAATCAGGACTCTTTTAAACATCCAAAAATGGAAGGTCCAGGCGTTTTGCATAAGAGAACTGTGTTTGATTACTAATTCCTTGTCATATTATAGGGCGGAAAAAGGTTTCTTAAGGGCTGTGAGTTTAAATCAGGGCTCTTTTAAAAATACAAGAATAAAAGGTCTGGACGTTTTGCGAAAGAGATCCGTTTTTGTGTTTGATAGGCCTGAAAAAGGCTTACTTTCATTTGCTTTGCGCGAATGACCAAATGTTAGCCATAAAAAGTGCTCAAGGAAAATTAACGAAATGTACTCGGAAAAACCGTTCTTTACCAAGCTGATAATGAGCGGGTTGACCACCATGTTAACTTTGGTGTCTGCCTGCTGTAATGGATTTGTTATTGCAGTCGTTGCCAGATTCAAATCGTTACGAACAGTTCCAAACATTCTCCTTTCCAACCACGCTCTGGCTGACTTGGTCAATGCCATCATCTGTGTGCCTCTTTACATGATGTACACCGTTTTAGAGGCCAGTTGGTTTCGAGGGAAGACATTGGCAATCATGACAAGTTTCTTTGACCGAGTTTACATCGCCATCAACCTTACCTCGCTGTTGGCGATGATCGTAAATATTTTCCTTGCCATTTCCTATGACCTGAAATACAAAGTCTGGAAAAGCAACAGAAAAGCCTTACTGTGCGTTTTTCTGATCTGGTTGATTGGCATCGGGTTCGTGATTGTCGTCTCCATTCCCCTTCTCAACATAGATCTTGGAAACGCTCATGTCACTGAATACAGAGCGGTAATTTACGAGCAAGGAAAATATTTTGTGGCATCGTTCATGGCATTATTCATCATTTCTGTTGCAATTCTTGGCTTCTTGACGACTCGCGCGATAAAATCGCGGCGGAAAGAGGTAATTAAATGACCTATTCCTGGTCAACTCTCTGCACATTTCATATGCCTGAGTTGACGAAGGTTTCCTAAAGGGATTATGGTGAAAAGTTTGATAAATATACCTTGTAAAACTAAAGCTACTCGAAGCCTCTTCGTACAGTGAGATCACCAGCTGGTCTACTAAGACGGGGAAGGGGGGGTCCAGAAGTCTGCCCTTATGGTGGACTGGTGGGGTTTGCTTTACTTCTTGGCTGACACCAAAATGTATACGATGACAGGATCGAAAGTTACTAGTCAATATGACGTATTTAAAATCTTGAAGTATTTATAAGCTTATTTATGCTCTGTTTTAGATTAAAACTTCTATGTTATTCAAGTTTAGATTTCCCACCCCCCCCCCTTCCACTACCTCTCCACCTGCGCGCATTGCAGTGTTTTGTTCTGGCTTCCTAACTACCCCCCCCCCCCCATCCAAACTCTCTACCTCGTAATAATAGACTATATGGGTACAGCCAATGGGGGGGGGGGAGGTGTCGGGAATCTGCGTGAAAAAGATCGTAATGTCGTAATGTTATTATTTTTATTTTTCAGTGGGCTGAGATGAACTTAAGCCCTCTACAAGCCGAAGTTCGTTTGAAACGCGACATTCAAGCTTGCAAAACCATCGCCATAATAATCGCTACCAACTTCTTTACCCATGTTCCGGCAATATTTTTCGCAATTGTGGATTTGGAAAATGGTTCATTGGCCCAATCCTGGCTTGCATTCTTTGCAGTCTACATTCACTACCTCAGTAGTGCATTGAACCCGATTATTTACTATGTACGAAATAGTCGATTACAGTCCGCTCTCAGGCAGTTTCTGGAAGATCCCCTTGGATCTCGTGACTTTAGAGAGAACGCTGTTACCATGATCAACGTAAGAACCATGAGTAATAATAACGGTATAGTAGGAACAAAGGACAACAGAATGGAGCACGCATGTGCAAGCGAACTTGATCTGCGTGGAGGCCTAACAAGGCGAAATATTTCAAATGATCAGGAAAACGAAGAGATCATCCTTTCCATAAACACGATACCGATCGAGGCCTGGGCTTAAATGGAAAAAACACGGAACACGGGGGCTGTAGAATGCCACGCCCAGAGGTGCCCTCAACGCCTAACTCATGCCAGGAAGAAGAGCTAGAGATTGAAAGGAAACAAAAAGACATGTACTAGGACAAGGGAAAAACAAAGTGCAGAAGATCCTAATGGGTAAAAGCGAGCTATCTCTGGTGGTGAGTCCTCTCTTGAAAGAAAAGTTCACACACATGATATCACCGACTTAAAGGGGTCTACAGAACCTGTCGTAGTCAATTCTGTCCTAAGCGGGAATCCCGACATTCCCTGCGGGTGGCTGCTTAAGGCAATTTTGACTTTATTACCTCTCAGAGGATCATAAGTCATGTTGATTGGTTGAGGAGTATCTCCACCCTACATGAGGTAATTTCAATACTGAGATACTCATGAACACAATTCTCAGTTTTTCCCAACGAATGAGGAATGTTGCTTTCCAATATCATTAATTCTAACAATGACAGATACAAGAAATCGATATTGGGTCAACTGATAATCCCCTAGTTGATGTTTTTCTTCATTCTCATCACTTGTCTGCTTAACATGGTACTGATATTGTAAAGAAAAATCCTGTGTTGATCACTCAAGGGATTAAGGGGTTAGACAACTGAACTGCTCACTGAATTCATCACTATGCATGCTTGTGGGACATACATTGCATTGATACAGCATTTTTCTTTAACTGTTTAACACTTTAACTCCCATGAGTGACCAAAACAGAATTTCTCTTTACAATATCAATACAATATCAACCAGATGAGTGATGAGAATAAAGAAAATTATCAATTTGGGGCTAGTTAGTTGATCTAATACTAAATTCTCTGAACTAACTTTATAAGAATTGTATGGTTGACAATAAGGAGAATCACAAATTTGATCTGATAGTTAAAGGGTTCTAAAAGTTTTAGTTTTACATATTTACAGTTTCTAGTGATGCATGGTTTATAGTAAATGAATTTTATGAAATTCTCTGGCTGATCTGTTTTTTTTGGTAACTTAAATATTAAAGGAGAGGAGCTGTTCATATCGAGACCTTTCGTGACTAAATTTTATCAATTTGGTGAAACATTGAGAAAGTTAGGCTATAGCTTTTACACCTTAAAATCAGTATGTATATTCTCCACGCTGTTTCCATACATTTCAAAATATATATTTATATTTAATTCACTCTTGTACATAACAGATTAACAATAAATAAAAATAATTTTAACACACTGATAAATTGCTCTAATGAAGAGCTTGGAGGCTAAATAAGTGATTAGTTTTCAAGTTAAGCTCCAGTTCAGTTAACTTGCTTAAATATGTCAAATGAAAGAAAAAAAGAATGATTAATTTGAAGCTTCAACATCCTCCCCCTGGTGACCCCCTGGTGACCCACTGGCATTTGAGAGTGTTATCTGTGCCCAGGGGGGGAAGGAAATTGAACTTTGCTTGAATGAGAGGGGAATTTTAACCTGAACTGTCAAGTCTTTTTTGGCTGAATAAACATGATTTATCTTTTAATATGGAGGTGTTGAAATGTAAAAAGTTCACTTTGGTGAGCAGATGGTGTAGAAGAAAACCTTTTCAAGAAAGTTACAGTTTCTGATCTTAATTTTTACCAAAAAAAAATGTATGATGAAATCTGGCACTTTCAAGTGCCAGATTTCATTTTAGTAAATTAAAATTGGGGCATTTGAACGAAATTTTGGCCTTAAGGGGCAGAATTTGAACCCACCAATCTTGAAAAGTTCAAATACCCAGGGTATTGTCTGAGGGTGGAGGTGAGGGATCCTGTACAGAATTTGAATTCATGACCTCCCATTTGGCTTGTTAGCTCAGTTGGTAGTGCACTGCACCAGTATTGCAGAGGTCATGAGTCAAAATCCCATACAGGCCTGAATTTTTTTAGGCCTTATCTTCACTACTGCTTAAGTAATGTTCATTACTGTGATGATTGTTTCTATATTCATTTCTTTGTCTGCAGTTCACATATGATTTTCCATATGTTTACAGTCAATAGTAATACTTCAATGGAATGATATATTTGTTTGTCTCACAATGTAGTCACTTCAGATGTGGGTTGTGAGGTTTTTATTGCATACTGCTGGTCTTCTTCATGTGATGGAGTCAGTTGAGTACATGTCACCTTTATCCTGTTGTGCTCTGCTGTGATTGGATGGAATTCCAGGGCTGTGATAGGTACATCTTTCAGATCAGTTTTCCTCTGTGGTCTGCATCCAACAAATAATTTGACTTAGAGCAGAACTGGGGTGGATCTGAACTTGGTGGGGGTTCAGTGGTGGTGGTCAGTGTCTTTGTGTTTTTTTGTGTAGAGAGAAACAAAGTGCTATTTACCACACTGAATAACCACAACCTATTATACAACACTAATAATAATACACACAATAAAAGAAAAAGCCTTATGGTGTGGTTCTGTTTTGTTTGTACTTTCTTTACAGTTTGTAAAATTTGTACATGCTTCCCCATGCTAACATGCTGACAACAAGAATTTGTTTAGCAATCAAGAACCCCTTCAGTTGGTGAACATTTGTATTCATATTGCATGTAGAAATTCTCTCTTGGTCACTCCATGGAGTTTAAGGGTTAAGCAACAAAAACTGCTCACTGAATTCATCACCATGCATGCTTGTGGGACATACATTGTATTGGTACAGCATTTTTTTTTTTTTTACTGTATTTACAGTTTCTAGTGATACATGGTTTACAATAAATTAATTTTATGAAATTGTCTGGCTGATCTGTTTTCACTGTTAATTGAAATGGTAAAAAAGAGGAGCTATCTATATTGAGACTTTCCATGACTAAATTTTATCAATTCGGCTAAAAATTGAGAAAATCAGGCTATAACTTTTTACACCCTAAAATCAGTATGTATATTCTTCATGATGTTTCCATACATTTCAAAATACATTATTAACTCTTTTACCTGAACAGTGAACATTTCTTTTATTTTGTGACCTTAATGAATGATTCAGTGATAATATTACGAGAAATTAGTAACTAGTCACTCTTAATCAGGCCAAAGGGTCAGTGTTGATGACAGCCACTGAGTGAAGAAGCAGGGATATTATTTTTGCTCTTGAAAGTAGACAAACCTTAACTAATTAACATGGATACCCTGATACAAAATTAACACTGACAGAAAAATCTGTACAGAGAGCACTGAAGCCTTGAATGTAAAAGAAGATCTTAGTCCACAGTCACTTGCAAACTGCTTCAAAAACATCTAATGTTCTCTTAATTTCCTTTACTTGTTCAGCCAAGTTTTGAACTGGTTTGAGGCTTGCATTCAGTTCTTCACATCTTGCAATCAGAGTGTACATAGATTTAATGTTCACATCCACTGCCTCGCTCACATGATCAACACAAGTATCGTAAGCACTCAGGCAATCTGTGCTCACTTGGGACATGGCTTTCAAACTGTTGGCTAAAGCTTTGAGCATGTGATCCAAGTTCCCTGCTACATCACTAGCCCTTATCTCTAGATCATTCAAGATTTCTGGATCAATTGGTGGGATTTCCGACAAGCATGATCTATGAACGTCCTCCCAATCATCTAACGATGTGACTTCACTCTTTGTAATTTCTTCATAAGCATCAACAGCTGTCCCTGCTGAAACTTTGTCTTTTACTAATTTTACATCAGATGCTTCTAATGCAACATTAGATTCATTGGCTGATCCAATTTTTGTTGTGTATTCCTTTTCTTTTACTCCTGGTTCCACTGATAATTCAGTTCCTGAAAATAAGATTGTGTATAGAATTTAACCCTTCAACTCTAAGAAATGATTTACAAGTAACTTCTCCCAATAGTATCCATGAATTATCCAGCAAACAGGTAATGAGAATACTCAAACTTATCAGGTAGAAGTTGTTATCTTGATAGAACACTAAATTCTCAAAATGTATGTATAGGGAAATGTAGAGCACTTGGAGGGGAGAATTAACAATTAGATCTTGGGAGTGAAAGGTTAAACAACACATTGTACTTCATTCTGTGTTTGTACTCCTCATCAGTGGTGAATCTCAGATCTCATTTAGATACAGATCTCTAAAACCCTCTCTATCAATAATTGGTAGATAAGGTCCAGTAACAGACTCATGATCAAAAGTGGGTTGAATCCTCTGGTGGCAATAGCCTTGAAAACTGTCATCAGTCAAAGTGATTTTAAGTTAGAAAACCAAAACTAGAGTAACTCATTCCAGATGACAACTTCCACTCAGGTAAACAAAATTTTAGCCGCAGTCAATGACAACAATTCTTTTTTGGGATGTCCTTCACCCAGCCAATTACAAAACCCCTGGGTCAAATCTAAATTACTACATAAATAGAAACATTTCCCACATGTTTTTGGAAGGATTTTCCAGCCGAAAGATTTGGCATTGCAGATACAATGGTTTTGCTTTTATTTCTGGATGAAACACTTTAATTGCCAGGTTGGCTACATACATACACACAAAATGAGATAGGTTGAGATCAATAAACGGTGAGGCAAAAATTACCAACGAGATAAATACTTCCTATCAGTTTCTAATAGTCCATTTTAGAGTTGCATGCTTGGTTACCAAGTCTTTCAACAGGAATGCGACTTAAGGTGACCTTGTTATGATACAAATCTTGTAAATTATTTTGTTATTATACTAACGAGATACTGATCTCAATCACAACATGGCCACCTTCAGCCTCACTCCTGTTGAAAGGCTTGACAACCAAGCACGCAACTGTAAAATGCACTATTATCAACATCTTTGTGGCCACTGATACTGTCATAACAAATTAAGGGTAAAATTTTCTCAGTGCTGCTTAGTTTAGATAGCAAATGTGCTGTTTGAAGAGATGGAGAAGAGGCGTTACTCGAAGGTTTTCAGTCTCAGATAATACATGGTGTCGTGAAATTCGGTGGAATCTCATGCCCGATGAGCTATTTCACATGCCAATAGTACCATAACAACAAAATACACTTATTTGCTATTCACTTCCTTTGAACACTTGAAATGCCTACTCAGCTGGAAAAAACAAGCTTATTGGGTGAAGAATACATGTTATGACATGATGTAAATCAGGTGAGCTTAAAGTTACCAATGAGATTACACTTCGAATGAAACGCCTACTGTACCTTGAACAACGTTTTCGGCTCTTAAAGGACTGTCTTTAATTGCAGTATCTTCAACAGTGCTTGTTGCAAGCTCTGTAGCAGAAGTTAAAGTTGACGGTGGATCAGCCATACGTGAAAAGATCGTGAAAAGTCAACCTCGATGAGAGATCTTCGGTAATATTTATCAGCGGTTTCTAAACTCAGTTCTAGTCGCCCCCGTCCAGAAGCCAAGATGGATTAGCAATGGAAATTATGTCGATACGATGAAGATAAGCTATTCTCCTATTCACACAAGCCACATGGTTGGACATAGAAGACAAAAATACCTTTTGTACATTGGCTTGATATTGATAATCTTGGTTGTGTTAATTTTGTACTATTTCGGGGCGAATAGAGAGCTTGAAAATCTCACTGTGCTTGGAGGAAGTGGTAGTGAAAATCTCCCAGCAGAAATTTCTGCTATTGAACCGTACGACAATTCTGTGAAATTTGACTCGGTAAGTATTACTTGGTTAATGTGGCTAAACTTCAGAATACCCCGCAACTTTGGTCCGCCTCACTTACATGTGTCGGGAGGCTTTGAAGATCGAGGCATAACACAATAGACGCTATTCTTATTCAATGACATGTAAATGAGTTGCGGGATATTATGAAGTTGCTCCACATTTCATTTTTGAGTGACGACTGGATACAAGGTTCCCGCATTTTACTTTTTAGGTATTAACAGCTGTATGCTTTAAAATCTCGCACTGTCGTTTTTGATACTGTTTAGTTTACATCCTGATTGTTAAGACGTTTCTAGTAACTGAATTGTAAACTAGCTCTTTAAGCTCATGAGCAAGATTTAGGGTAGTATAATTTCAAGTAGTCAACTAGCATAGTTTAAGTTTTTGTTATTTATTGAATTCAATGAGCATGAAATCTCTGCTTGTAGAAATAGCGCTCAAATTCAGAATCACTTGCAATTTCAACTTGGCAACAGCTACATTTTTCTTGGTCTAATTTGTTCTTAACAACAGCAATGGCTCAAAAAGAACTGTTTACAAGGGTTTAATGTAACCGAAGAAGTAGGAAATATTGGGAAACTTGTGGATGCTTGGAAAAATGTCCCTCGCAGAGATTGCAGGTACTTTGTTTGACCTTACTATTAACCATACATTTCTTTTAATGTTATTTCTGATAATTTTTTTAGTAAAGAGAAACATTCCACATGGTTGATACCTTTCTTTACATGTACTTCCATCCCCTACTTGCTTGAGAGTGTTTTGAAAATGCAAGGAAAAATTATGTCCTTGTCTTTACTCTCTTGAAGCAGGGATGCGCAGGGGTGAGAACCCTCTCCTCCCACCATTATGACCTGGGTTTGATTCCCAGACCTGGTGTCACATGTGCTTGAGTTTGCTGTTAGTTCTCATCCTTGCCCTGAGGGTTTTTCTCAGGGTCCTCTGCTTTTTCTCTTTCTTCAATAACCAACATTTTAAATTCCAATTCCACCTGGAAATAGTTAAAAAGAAGAGCCACCTTACTTGTGGATTGTGCAATGCTAAATCCCTTTTTTTTAATTTTTTTTATTTATTTACTAGGAATGAATTGAGTCATTTCACATAGTTAAGAGGAACATGTAATATATGTACCTCTTACTTAAACCAAGTTTGAGGTCCATGCTGTAAATTATGGACCCATTCTTTTCTGCTTAGATTAATATGGGGTGAAGCACACAGGCCATATATCTGAGCAGAAAAATGAGGTTTCAAAAACTTACAGTATGGACCAAGGAAAGAAGATTAACTTATTGCTTTTTTTAGGGCTGTAGTAAAGGAAGGGAATTTCACTTCACACAAATCTTTTGATTTAGTGAGCCATACAGTGAAATATGGCCCACTAATGTGACCAATCATAGTGCCAAGTTAACATATGCCTCACCAGAACTCAGATATTTTAGTTATCCCTTTGTCTTGATATATTAATTGTACTAATTCATGAGTTGCAGAGCTAAGTTTAACCCTTTAACTCCCAGAAGTGATTAACCTAAAACTTCTCCCTACAATATTCGTACATTCTTCAGCAAACAGGTAATGAAAATATTCAAACTTATCAGGTAGAAGCTGCTATCTCGATCTAGCACCAAGTTCTCGTAACTAATTTACAAGGAAATGCGTAGCAGCTACAGGGGAGAATTAACAATCAGATCTTGAGAGTTAAAGGGTTAATATTTACCACATTTTCCTTTTTCTTTACCACAACAGAATTGTTTCCAATAAATATAGTGTTTGTGTGCTAGCTGATTCACATGCTTTTGTTATTTCATAGGGATTTATTTGAGACATTCAAGGATGTTTATCTTGTCCAGGACAGAAGTGCGCCATTAGTAATACCTGATACCTTTGCACCCAAGGTATGACATTATCTTAACCCTTTAACTCCCAAGATCTCCCTAGTAATTCTCCTTACTGTCTGCCCAACAATTCTCATTATGTTAGTTTGGAGAATTTGTTATGGGATCAATTAGTAATCCCATAATTTATATTTTTCTTTATTCTCATTACTTGTCTGCATGATATTGTATAGATATTGTAAAGAGAAATTCTATCTTGGTCACTCACAGGAGTTAAAGCTGACTACTGCTTCAGGCCACAAATTCCATTCCTTTGATGGTGTTATAACAATGTTTATGTAATGATATGGAGATAATTGTCTGTTTTTGCAATCTGTGCAGAATGATACTTTGTTTGTATGTGTTTATGTAATATTTGTGTGTTGTGTGTTTATTTGTGATGGAATATGTGGAGTGACATACCCACCTTATAATTTAATAATATATATATGAATACATTACTGGTAAATATATCTAAAATGCACGCTGGCACTCAGTTTTGTTAACCCCTTAATTCCCAAGATCTGAATGTCAATTCTCCCCTCTTGCTGCAACATGTTTCTCTGTAAATTTGTTATGAGAATTTGGTGTTATATCTGGGTAAAAATTCTACCTGAGCACCTATTAGGGACAAGGCTTTATTATTTATTTTTTTTTGAGAAACAGTGGAATGTATGCAAGAAACCTTTGATGTTTATCTAAAAAGGAACAATAGCAGAAATTGTAAATTAAAGTAAAAATTAAAATTTGTGTAATAATGGTAGATTATTTGTTCTAGCAGGGATATCACTGAAACAGAAAAGGGGTACTTATTGTATTAAGGTTGCCAATATGTGTCAGGGGTGCTTATTAGAACAGTGCTTATAAACAAAAGCAATTTCAATAGGTGTTTATTAGAGGGGGGCTGCTTATTGGAACAAGGGGGCTAAATCAAATCATTATGGTGGTATGAAATCTATGTAAACTGCATGTTGTATCATATGTAATATGATAAGGGTTAAGTAAAGTTTATTGTTGTTGTTTTTGTTTATTTGTAGGTTTTAAAGTGGCTTGGGGGAAAACAGGAATTGCTAAAGGAAGCAACTTTGCAGGTACTAATAGACAAACAAGATTTTAATATACTATTATAATAATTGCTAATAGTAATTGTGAAATCATTGAAAAATCTATCAAAATGAATGTCTATATTTTAAATTGGTGCCTAGAGATGACAGTTATTTAGATCACAGCCTATAAGCGCAAGACTCCAACAACTTGATCCACATGTATATCACCAGATCTAACTGAGTACATCAGTATGTATGTTCTCCTTACTGTTCTCTATAAATTTTCTTGAGGTGGTTACAAGGAGGAATTGTTTAACAATCAAAGGCTTCCTTGTTTTTGTTTCATTTCTGTTATTCTCATGACCATAACGTGTGATTCATGGGTGATATTGTATGGAGAAATTAGATGCTAGTCACTCTTAGGAGTCAAAGGGTTAATTGTGTGAGGTTACCAAAAGGTTAAACAAAGATCCCTGAATCTGGAGGTCTGCTAACCACACATAAATCCAGTTTAGCTAAAGCTGATATTATTCTGCACTTGCCCAATAAAATATTGCAGCTCTTGCCATTGATGAGATGGTGATGATGAAATTCATTATTCCCAAACCTTATTGACATCAGTGTATTGGCTACTTATTTTTCAGCCAATTACATCAGTGGAAAACCTATATACTCAAGAATCCACTGTGTTTAATCCTCTTCGTGCAAAACGGCCTGGTGCGGGAGGAGGGGCTACTGAGGAAACCAAGAAATAGTAAGTAAATCTAAGGGTGTGTACATGGGAGTTGGTATGTTGTTGGGGCACATTAAGTTTGTGTTCATGCTTGTGCATTCAGGATGAAGACAGAGTATATTCTTGATGAATCTACTTTTTGTTTGGTTTACATTTGATGCTTTTCAAGATGATTTTGAAAAACATAGTTGGTTATCAACTAGAAGTCGATGAAGATAGCCTGTGAGCAGGCTGCAACTCCCATGATCTGATAGTTAATTCTTGCTTCCAGCTGCTACACATTCTCTTGTAATGTAGTAATGAAAATTTTATTTTAGATCAAGATAACAACTTCTACCAGATAGAGTATTTGAGTATTCTCATTACCTGTTTGCTGAATAATGTATGCCGGGGTGTTACAGGGAGAAGCTACATGTTAATCACTTCTGGCAGTCAAAGGTTTAAAGGTTTTGCATGAAGCTTGTGACACGTGCATGCAGCAGGACTGATAGGAACCTTGTAGCTTACAATGAGGCTCCAAGTTGCCTTTTTCAAAAAGTCGCCTTTTGGTCACAAAAAAGAAAAAAAAAAAAGAAAAATCCATGGGAGGACACTTCATGTTGCATCACTGGCATTTGTACATTTGTTCATTTGACTAAACATCAATAGATTTTTCTAATTTTTCTTTTTAAATCTGTTGGTTGCCACTTGGCGACTTTCGTCGAAATTTTAGTCACCAAATATATTTTTAACTCACCATGGCAACCAAAAGGGTTGCAACTGGGAGCGCTGCACAGTGATGGGTTGATAAACCATCTTTTGGTGAATTTAACAAGGTCTTATCTTGTGAATGAGACCTAAGTTTTTGCTTTTTAATTTTTTTAATGATGATTTATTTCCCTTTTTTAACTTCTGTATCATTCTTGATGTGTAATTTAGTGTTTAAAATTTTTGCTAGTGCAGCACAGAAATTTCTTTTGATAAAAGTAATGTTACCTTGCTTATATGAAGGATCTTTAGCTGATATATGTACATCTTTATTTCACATAGAAAATTACATGCATGATAAATGATTGAAGTTCATTACATTTTACAATCTTTTCAGTCTTGCAGAGTTGATTCAGTCTAGTGCTAAAGAATGCGACTTCTGTAGTTATAAAGTGTAAGAACTTTTGTCACTTATAGAAATTATAAATTAAAAAATATATTTTTTCATCATTTGAAGTGTATAAGGGGTTATTATTATTGCAGATTTTGCCACCTGCCTTTTGATTATTCAGGGGGTGGTTTTTTATCACAATTGAAACAAATTGTCAAACACCTGTGAAAAAATACTTCCTATTACAGGTTATTCATTTGATCTCAGATTAAAAAGGGGTGGATTTTTATTATTACTGACTATTCATGTAATCCCAGAGGTGTAATTCAAGCACAGAAATGATTCTTGCAGGTGGACTGCTATTTTAGTTATTGATGAGATTCAAAACTGTATCTCCCAGATACTAGTTGGATGTTATTAGTATCTTGGAGGCTCGGTTGTCGAATCACGTGGAACCCTAAATTTTTTCAGGTGTCTTTTCAGCAATTGCAAGAATTACAGTCCACTTGCAGGGATCATTTCATTACTTTGCATGTTTGTCATTCCCAAGTTACAAAAGAAAAAAACGGAATTATTTCATTACAAGTTAGAGATATAATAAGATGATATCATATGACTCGTGACTCCAGATCCAACTGTATGACTTATTGTTTGTTTGTTTCTTTGAATGTTTTTCCAGAAATACTGCAAAGGATCCTTTTGAAAGTGTTGAGTCCAAATATTCACTCTCAGGTATAACCGTATGTTATAAAGAGACACAAAATGATAAGTTCTTAGAATTAATATGATACGTACACCTAGAAATTCTTACAAGTGATTGTCGTGTAGCTGTTGAATGAGGTTATAGACCAGGTTAGTGGGTATAAAAGAGTTTAAGGGGCTTTTTTCACCTTGAATTGATGATCGACTGGCGTGGAGAATCTCATGAGTTGTAGCTGCATGTGACAACGGACGGTTTGCACATGTGATTCTTGCCTCTTGCGCACGGGAAAGGTGATAATGAACGGTCAAACGTCGGGCATGCGCACGTGGATACATTTGGGCCGCCCGCGCACCAATTTCCCGCGCTAAATTTCAGAGAGAAACCCAAGAAACAACCGCTGACACGCTTGATTTATAATTTTGTTTTGAGCATGTCAAAAATGTGACCCTTGTGTGATTACTTTTAACCACTGTGTGATAAGTAGTTGGGGCTAATTAACGAAATGGTACATCACATTTATGCGGTCAATAGCGCGGGCGTGAGCGAAATTCGCGAAGAAATAAGTGGCTGGCATTTAAAACCAAGGCACTATGTCGTTGAAGGCATTTTCCTGTTTCCAGTGCTTTAAGGAGAAAACTAATTTTGTGAAAATATTCAGGGGGTGTACAAAGTTTCTGGAAGTTGTTCTGTAAAAGAAAAGCGGTGAGAGAAACAACACTTAGAAGCAACAGAACGGAAAATCAAACATACAAACGACACAAAATCCGTTTCCCGCGCCAAAGCCTAGCCGCATACGCAGACGTTATTCAGCTCTGTAGCTCTGTCATAAATTGGTTTTTACAGCCTGAAAGCGTGAAAGTTAGCCTCCAGTCTAGACAGCGGCAAAATGAGTGCCCATGCTTTCAACCAGCCAGAAATTTACGCGTGATAAGGAATAGGACTAACAATATTTCCATAGTAACACTATTGAGGCAAAATGGCGGCATTTTAAAATTTCAGTTGCTTGTTTTCATTTCGCGGGAACAAGGCCAAATCAAAACAGATAAGGTTGCAGTTTTCAGGAAAGTTTCTCGTACCACATTTGTCATATATCTCACCCAAAGAAAAACGTTTTTTGGTGACAGGTGTGAATTTAGTGACTGAAGTTGAGCAGCCTTTAACATGGTTCCTAGCACCTGTTGTCATTTTGGTTCTTCTTGTCATCGCTTCCTCACTAGATAAACCCCACCCCACCCCCCCCCCACCCCCCCGGAGAAAAACGTTTGTTGTTTCGGTGGAAAAAGCCGCGTCAGCTCATTTTTGCTGAAAAAAATCGTAGCTCTGAACGCTTTGATGGCTCGAGTAGCGGAACATGCGTACTCATTTTGCCGCTGTGTCCTCAAGTTGTAAAAATTTCCACACATGCGTAGGCGTTTGATATATTTTAATGAGGAGCCCAAATAATGGGCTCCTGATTTTAATATATTAAAGTTCACATGTCAGCCAAGTGGACAATTTAATTTAATTTTAATAATAAGTTCTTATATAGCGCATTAAAATTGAACTCTATGCGCTTTACAATTACAAATTAACAAAATTTCGATAAAAATCCTATACATGCAATTCGCTACTCTATCTAAACTAATGAATTATTACGTGTTATGCATATGTTTGACAACGTACGATATCAAATAATCTGGTGGCTTAATTTTTGAAAAGATAAGTTTTCAATAAGCGTTTAAAGGAGTCAACAGATTCGGCGCCGCAATCAGACATGATTTGATGCTACTCTGGTTTACAGATTTAATAAATGTAACCGAAGAACTTACAATTCATAGACCCAACGTTTCGACACTCCTGTCGAGTGCCTTCATCAGGGGTGATCTAAACGCTGCAAAAAGAGGTCCTTTTATGTGATCACTAATTAGCTGCCTTTTTTTCTGACGAGGTGTAAATAGGCGTTAGGAAGTAAGCCGCCATCATCTCTTTTTTTTTTAAGAGCGTGGGCGGAGTTAATATGCCAAGCTTCCAAACAAAGGCGCTGGTGGTAACGCTGATTAGTGGTGATAATTTTCACCACGCGATTTTATAGCTTACCTAAAATTCATAAACCGGGAATTCCTTTGAGACCCATTGTCTCTTTTGTTAACTCTGCGACTTAAGCAATATCTGGTCATTTAGCGAGAATTTTGTCGCCTGTTGTTGGGAATACTGATTACACTGTCAAAAATTCCTGCGAATTTGCGGATTTCATAAGAGATAGGACTCTTAACGCTTGTGAAGAATTAGTATCTTTCGACGTTGTTTCGCTCTTCACTAAAATCCCAGTTGATCTTGCCGTTAAGTTTGCCGAGGAGAGACTCGGAGAAGATGCTCCCCTATGACAAAGAACTTCTTTGCCTGAGGAGGATTTTATTCATCTGCTGTCTTTTTGCCTCAAAACCACGCAATTTGCATACAACGGCACCTACTATCAACAGGTTTTTGGTACAGCTATGGGTTCGCCCGTCTCTGCTGTCATTGCCAACATGGTAATGGAAGACGTGGAACAAAGGGCCTTAGCCACCCCACCGTTAAACCCTTTTTCTGGAAACGATGTGTCGATGATGTTATTTCTGCGGTATCCGGAAAATGGAGCGGAGCGCCTCCTATCGCATTTGAATTCAGTAGAGCCGTCTATCCAATTCACCCTTGAGCGTGAAAAGGATAGATATTAGCCCTTTCTTGATTTAAATGTGTCCAGTTGGGTTCAGGGGAATATAGAGACAAGTGTCTATCGTAAACCTACCCACATCGACAAATACCTCGCTTTCGATTTTCACTGCCCTATTTGCCATAAAAAGTCTGTAGACAGTCAGCTTCCTGAGTAAAGTTTTGGCTGCCATCTTCACTTGATTCGAAGGCTGAGAAGGGGAAATATGTTTCTAATGTCTTAAAGGCGAATGGCTATACTAAAACTTTTCTCCGCAACTGCCAAAAACCGGTTATAACTAGTAGCACTCCTGATGAAAGGGAACCAGCGACTGGTTTTGCTGTTATTCCTTACATTCAGGGTGTTACGGAACCCATCAAGAGAATTTTGAATAGCCACAACGTTAAAGTTGCTCAAAAACCTTTTCAGACTTTGGGGCATATTTTTGCCAAACCTAAGGATCCTGTCACGAAAGAACAACGAACCGACGCCATTTATTCTATTCCTTGCAATGACTGTGACAACAAATACATCGGACAGACCAAACGTCAGTTTGGTACACGTTTGAAAGAGCATCAAAAAGCGGTTTTCTTTTGCAAAAAAGAAAATTCAGCTTTATCGGAGCACGCATGCCTAACTAACCATACAATTGGTTGGGATAAGTCTAAATTTATCACCACTAATCGGCGTTACCACCAGCGCCTTTGTTTGGAAGCTTGGCCTATTAACTCCGTCGTGTCGAAACGTTGGGTCTATGAATTGTAACTTCTTCGGTTACATTCATTAAATCTGTAAACCAGAGTAGTATCAAACCATGTCAGAGGAATATTAAATCTGCAATAGAGGGCTTTTCGATTGAGTGTCCCATAACCTAAAGTGTAGAATTCACAAAGGCCAGTTAGAACACACAACACACTGAATCAAAAGGAATCAAACAGATCTCAAAATAATAATAAGCAAACTCTTTCGAGCGCGGGAAAACGCGGATTTCCAATCGGCGGTTGGATTTAGTTTTGCATCTGATTGGCTGAGAGGGTGGCAGACCAAAGTAAGATCGAAGATAACTGGAACTAATGTAATCTCCGTTTACTTTTGACACTCAATCGATATTTGCTCTGAAATCGGCTCGGCTCTTTTCATGTTATTTTTTTCGTCTGTTGCAGTGTCCAACACATTTAAAGTAGAGAAGTTCCACAGTCTTATCATTTGGAGGCGGCATAATCCACTAGAAATAAATGAAGAAGAAGTAAGTAGAACGAAATGAAACTTAACCTTTCTGTTTTGTTTTTTCGTGAGACATTTGTAGAGTGCCTTTTATAACTTCGTCGGTTACTTCAATTTTACCACGTAACGTCTTTTTATGCCTGTTCCCCCAGATTTGATTTTAAAACTTGTAATTTTCTCCCTGCATTATCAGCCTCTCTCTAGAAGATGCATGAGGAGGATAAAACGAACTTATCTGTTACAGGGTTTTGTCATAATAGACACCTATGTCTCCTGGCTATTTGCTACAAGGAAATGTACGCAGCCAAGGAGGGATGATTTCTGATTAGATTTTGTGAGTCTTCAGCTGCTTGAGAGCTTGGAGAACTGAGTCATTCTAAAAGAAATCGAGGGTATAAAATCTTTTCGGAAGGAAAGCTAGACAGACTAATGACATCATTGCCCATATAATTTGGCTGCTAAAACAACCAGTTACTTTGAGTTCCTTACTATAGTTTGGTGAATTCTCGCGAGGCGTAAATGTTACAACTACTTGAATTCTGACACATGAATTTTTTACTCAGTAACACAGAAAAAATGAAAAAAATGTTAATAATAAGAAAACGCAAAGAGGAAAAAAAGAGGAAATTAATTTAAAAGTCGACAGAATGATTTCAATGGAATCATTCTTATTGGCGAAATTTATTTCCAGGTGTTTTGTATGGGCTGCAGAATATTCCTCCATTACATGTCTTTGAAAAGTCAGTTTAATATTTTTCTCAGCTGATTGAAACAGCTTCTGACCGAAAGAAACTTATGCCCCATTCAAACCAACGGATCATGTTTATAGTTAAACCGGGTTTAGCTGCATGAAAATCCGAAACAGAGAACTAAAAAGTCGAATTTTCTATAGGATTCAAGTAGTCACTAAGCGTATTTCAATTTGCTAAATTTAAAGTCGACATTCACCGGTTTAAGTGGCTTCTATGAAGAAAGAAAAATTCAGCTGTGTGTAACAGAATAGCTTCAAAATATTTTTAAGCTTTGATGTGAATGAGGTATAAGACATATTTGTAAGCAAATGATTCTGATGTTAATTTCCTGTGTCTGAGTGATTTCAATTATTAGTGTCCATTTCCTCACTTCTTTCTGCTCAACGTTGTTCTCAAAGCTTTTCGATATTTCGGCAGCCGCCAAGCGAATAGAAACGGGTCCAAAAAAAACTTCAAGTAGAGAGTGTTGTCCGCGATAACGCGAACCACAAAAAGAGTGTGGCTTTTTTTCGTGTCTTCATCAGCGTACAAATATATATACCACAGTATAGCGGTCGGCTGCGAGCACAGCAATAGTATCACAATGAGAAGAAGATTTAGTCGCACGAAATTCCTTTCGATCATTGGTTTTGATTTCCGTCTCTGTTTCCGAGGGTGAACTTCGTGCGTTGTCGACATGCTTACTGAATTTGTGGTATGCAGGGTAGCGGATCTTGCCGTCATTTGTTTGCGGAAGGCTTTCTGAAGTAAAGCGTAAGTTATGATGGTAAATAACAGTGATAATGTTGAGTGGATGTACAAGTCGAGTTTTTCCAGCAACTCTCTAGGGACTCCTACGGTTCGAGACATCTCGAAGACGGTTGAATATAGCCAGATACACGCCACACAAACTAACGTCTTTCGAACGCTGATAAAACGCTTGTACTTGAGCGGAAATGCAACGGCCACATACTGCGCGAAAGTGAACGCCATGACTATCAAAAATGAAGAATTAGTGGTAATAGCGGCAATGATACCAGCAATGTTAAAGATCTTTTCACAGCGTTCCACTTTGGAATGTCGATGATAGTGCATAAAATAGCAGCTTGTAACCACTGGTTCTGGAACAAGACCTGTTGCCAAATCTGTGATCGCAAGACCCACGAGGAACCACGCGGTCGGCGTGCGGAACGTGTTAAATGGATCCTTGTATATTGCTATCAAAAGCATTACATTAGCAAGGACGGTTAACGGACATATCACGGCTAAAAATGAACCAGACACCAAGAAAACTGTACCCAGGTTTGGCTGATCGATATCAGTGGCATCAAATGTTGAATTCATCCTTCTGTTCGTGTTCAACAGATTTTCTTCACCTCGTCTCGGTATTTCTTGTCAACCTTGTCTTAGGATTTTTTTGCTTTACGCTACTCTTTGTTTCCTCATTCAGTCTTTACATCTGTCTGGACGATTCCGTGTCAATCTTTTGATTTTGGATTCGTCTGGTGATTCGACGTGCGGTGTTGTTAATGGCGCGATATCAAAGGCTTGTTGCCTCCCTGCATGCGGTAGTCGTCAAAACATGTTGTTAACAAAGGTAACCAATGTTCCTTAAGATCAAATCCGTCGATCTCAGTGCTGGATTATGAGTTAACAATGCGTATTGTGCCTTAAGATGTGCGCCTTTTTGAGAAAAAGAATGCGATTTAAATACTCTTAGAAACTGTATCCCGGTGCGATGAAATATATATCGGACGAACCGTTCCCTAGATACTTTAACCAATCTCTGAAACGTTCAATTTTTTTTTGTTTGGTCGCATGTTATTTCTTGTCGCGGTGTATTCTTCAACCTTGCGTCATGTCGCGGTGTATTCGTCAAACATTTGGTGATCAATTTGTTGTCTCTGATACCTCTCCCTCTCAGCAGTTTGCTCAAGACACGTTTTTTTTTTTTCAGTTGTTGTCATCGGTATTAGCTCGCAAAATTATGTGGTTTTCAAGGGATGCACCTGTTGTATATTTACATGGCATACAATGCAAGCTTCTCCTATTTTCCTTGTGGTGTTTTAATAGTGATTTTCAAATGATCAACTCAACAAAGGAGGAAATAAGTAGATTTTGGGCTAGTGTCACTTTTGAAGTCTTTGCTTTCATCTCAATTTTTTCGTGGTCGCGCAGATTAACAGCTTGAACTCCGGTTCCCTCCCGCCGTTTTTAATTGGTACTCCGCTTCCAAAGTGCGTTCCTTTTTCATGCAGTATGAATGACCAGAGAAAAGTTTCATTAATTTAAACTGTTAAAAATTTCCATTTTTAAGTGATCCAACTAATTTCCATTCAGTTATGTGCTGGAAATTGATTAAGTGAAGAAAGCAATAAGTGAAAGAAAGTCCTAGTTTTTTCATTTAATATTTGATATCGGCCAAATTGCCTAAATTATTGTCCTCAATTTTACAGAAGCTTATTTCGCGGTTTTCAAAATTAAACTTTGAAATCGCTCTTATAAACGTCAAATAAGTTCGAGTAAGATTTTTCAATTTTAATTTCGATTTTTTTACTAAGGCTGAGTGGGTTTTGTGGGCGTTTTACAAAATTGTTGTGCGGTTTAATTATGAGGTGAAAATTGTTTGAATTGAAGCGTTTGTGTCGCACTATTGTGTAAATGTCACACACCTAATGGGAGAGAACGTCATTGTTCATGTTTCAAAAGTTGCTCAGACATTCTCGCCTTTTTTTTCGAACGAGTTTCAATGATGATCGTGCATAGCAACTGTTGCTGCTTTGATAAAATGTTCGACAGTTCGGTTTTGTATTTCGGTCCTCGCATATACGGCGACCGTTTGCATATTTTACGGTTGTTATTTAATCATACGATTCGTGTCTGTCAAAACCATAATTTTCTAGTTGTCCGATTAGACTTAAAATGCAATATGTTTTGTTTGCTTGTACTTGCGGAGAGAACTTTTTATTATTTCTCCGTCAGAACATGACTTTGAGAACGTGATTTCAAATGTTCAGAAATTAATCTCCAAGAAATTATTGTAGACACTAAAGGTTGATGCCAAACTGTTTCTTTGAGATATACTGCGGTTTTTGTTTGTTAAAAAATTGAAACACAATTGAAAACTTTCGGTAAGAATTTCGGACGATTTATCTGGTGTACAACAAAATTGTAATCGTGCTGAAAAATTGTTAGAAATAAAAATTTCGATTTTTTATGGCAAATTTGTATTCTGGTGTTATTATTAAGACCAGCTTTTAATATTCAATACTAATTCGAATATCAAATTCTTCAAAAAGACTGGGGCATAGTATTTATTGTTAATTTTGCTTGGAGATGATTTGAGTAGTGATTTTTTTTTCCTGTTTTTGACAAACTTCTTTAAACAAAAACATTCCTTGTGAGTATTCTGGAAATGCCGATTTTGTCTATCCGATTAAATCACAAACAATATTTATCCTAGCTGACGGCTGATTTTTTTTTTTTAAAATCATACAGCTTCTTGATGCTATGGAAACTGCGCAGAAGTGGTAAGCAAATGAATTCCTTTTTCATTTGTATTTAACCCCCCAAGATTAGTATGCATATTCTTCTTACTAGTCTATATCCATTCCCTATGCTACAAACGAGGAGAATTTGTTCAACAGTTAACAGCCTCTCTCGTTGGTGATCATTTCTCTTATCTCATGGCATTAATGTGTGATTCAACAGTGATACTGTAAGGATAATTAAGATGCCAATCACTTTTAAGGGGTTAGAAGGTTAATTTTGACACCAGTTTCATGAGTGGCTCGCATTTCTTATAATTTTTCAACGTAAACTTTTTGCTAGAATAACAAAGTGCGAGAGCTTATCTTGTTACAAATGCAATGGTCTGCTATGACAAAGTGCGACAGCTTGTTCACCGCAATGCGCGACAAGTGTTATTACAAAGTGTGACAAGTGTTATTACAAAGCGCGACAGCTTGTTCACTGCAATGTGCGACAAGTGTTATTACAAAGTGTGACAAGTGTTATTACAAAGTGTGACAAGTGTTATTACAAAGTGTGACAAGTGTTATTACAAAATATGACAAGTGTTATCACAAAGTGTGACAAGTGTTATTACAAAGTGCGACAGGAAGCTTTCCCACCTCCCTTTATTCCTGATTCCAGAATTCATCTTCTTTGCGTTGAATTTCTTTCAGGTTTCACCGAGCGCATCAGTACGACGAGCAATACACAATCCCCCACATTTACTTGGACATTCTGCCGAGAGCAAGTGCTAGTCAAGTCCATCCTCACTTCCACGTGGCTTTGGCACGTGACCATTACTACGGTGAGTATGGTGACCACTTATTTCAATTAATTCTCTTAACTACCTAACAAGCAAGTGACAATCAACCAGACAGGCAAATAGTCCATTTTACAGTTGTGTACTTGGTTGCCAAGCCTTTGAACAGGAATGAGGCTAAGGGTGACCTTGTTGTGATACAAACCTTGCTGCTTTTCAAATGCAAATTACTTTGTTATCATGCTAACTAGATACTAGTCTCTATCACAACAAGGTCACCTTCAGCCTCACTCCAAATCAAAGGCTTGGCAACTAAGTACACAACTGTAAAATGGCCCATTGCTCATATGATCATTTTGAATGTTCTTCAGCTAGGTGGGCCCATTTCCAAGTGTCCGCCATGAAATATTCTGCGAATCATGATGGAGAAAACTATTTCTCAGCTTTGAATAGAGTAAGTAGGAATCTTCGCTGGGATTATCGATCATTTATTTTAAGTATATACTACACAAGTGAGTAGTGCTTTTCGCGTGCTCTTATTGGCTAGTTCGGAAGTGAAGAGCGAGTACTTTTCAATTCCGAGCAGCCGATGAGGCAAAATCGCGCGTCGAGAGTTTAATTTTTCGGTATCTGTGTGGTATATACTAAAACAATTATTTACCTCAGTATCAGTGAACATGGTAGATCTTTACCTCCACGTGGGTAAGCTATTGTTAAATATTAGCTACTCAGTATAAAATTTACGCGCAGTGACGTTTCTTATACGTTCATTCACTGTTCAGACGGCAAAAAAAGCTAATGCTATCAAACGTTCCTGTAACCTTTTACACCAGGACATCTGCATGTATATTTTCCATTCTGTTCTTTGTACATTTCTCATAAGACTTACAAGAACTTTCAATTTGAACCATTCTACATATTTAAAAAGAAGTTTTTATTCCCCGTGGCCTTGTAGATCCACAGTGCGTTAGGTCTTTCTGTTCAGCACGGCAATGCCAGTGTTATAGCATCCGTGGTAAGTGTTTTCTTTGTTGTCTTTGACCTTGTTTAGCGAAGCATTGTTCACCAGGGACACTTCGTTACCGTCGACGCTCGTACACCCATTGATAAGGGTCCCCAGCAATTGCGGGCACCCCGCTGTTAGAGACCCCACCATTACGACCCCCTAATTCATCTCCTCTGATCAGCCGATATTAAAATTGGGAACCAAACTTCTGGCCTCCCGTTCTGTTTTGGGAGTAACCTTTTTTTAATATTGTCCCCTTTGGGGATCGGCTCTTCCTCAAATACTGGGTTCCTTACTGTGGCACTCTTTCCGCCCTTCGAAAAGAGAGGAACAGTTATGCTCCAAAAATATAGTTTGAGCAGTTACATGAATCCTGTGACACCGTTTTCTAGGGGACACTTTTCCTAGTCTCAAGGGTGTACCCCGATTAGATGTTCCACAGTAACTTTATAATCAACGCTATATTTAAAGATTTTCTATTTTATTTCTTTCCCAGACTCCTGCCGCGCCCTATGAAATTTACCTGTTCAGTAAGACACCTTGTAAAGATCTCTTCCAGCTTCTCTACTACTCTATCGCCGGTAAGTTGGTGTTTCTCCAGCGCAGAAATGTCTTGTAGTCTTTTAATGATGTGAATAAATGACGAAGGAATGTTTTTTTCTTATTTGCAGCTCTAAGGGATGACATGGAATTGTACGCCATGAGTGCAGGAATGGTATTCCCAAAATTGGTAAGAGTCAGAACCATACAAAAAAGTTAGAACGCATCGCCGAACGGTTAGAGCGACAGCCAGACAGACGAACTCACGGATAGACAGATAGACAGACAGACTGACCGAAAGACAGACAGGCAGACGGAGAGACAGACAGTCAGACGGAGAGACAGACAGTCAGACGGAGAGACAGAGAGTGCGATAGATAGTCAGATGAAAGAATATACAGCCAGACAGACTGACTGAAAGAGAGACAGTCACAGGGAGAGACAGACGGTCCGACGGAGAGACAGAGAGATAGCGACAGATAGTCAGATGGAAGGACAGACAGACAGGAAGACAGACAAAGAGCTACAGATGGACAAACACACGGACGGACTAAAAGAAAAATTTCCTATTCTTCTGACGTTAACTTTTTTATCGTCATTTCAGGGGCCGTTAACTGACCAAAGTGATTTACCCGCAATCATAAGACTCATGTATCGCGGACCTGCGGAAGCGTAAGAACACCTGTTGATACCCGTTTTATTTTATAGCTCGTTTCTTTTTCAATGATAGCAACCTAGTTTAGCATCAGGATTTAGTTTAGAGACCAATTGACATTTTCCTTAGCCTTTTCATAGAATGTATAAATATGACACTACCCGCGTTTTGATATTGCATGGAGCTGCGTAAGCTTCCAAACGTTGTCCTTAAATGTGCCTAAAATTCCTCAACAGGCGTCGGCCATTTTGAAACGCGCTGAGCATTCCAGTCACTCACCTTTGAAGTATCAAGTTCTTTTTTTTTTTTTTTATCTCCCAACGATTCCGGAAGTGAATACCTTATAACCTCTTTTCCATGCTTCATATTGAAGTCTTGATGCCCAGGAGGCCCACAATTACCGGTGGGAGACTGGGGATGATTGACTAACCTTTCATTTTATTTCATAGGAGACGAGCGGATATCGATTCCCTCATGTTATTCGGGGTAAGTTGATGTTTTTCTTTTTTTCTTCTTCAATTTGCTTCATTTGTCTTTCCCTTTCCATTTAATAGGCTTTTTCAACATTAAACTAACTCTTGTTATGTTTTTTTTTCCTTTCCAGACTGTAAACGTTAATGTCGATCCTTACACGGTGATTAAAAGCATCAAACAATCTATAGCCAAGCGAAGGCCAAAACCTGGGTAGAAAAGTGTCGCAGTGGCCATCATTTGGGACCCTACCGTTTCGAAATTTTGCGAAAAGTATTCAAAGGGAGCAATGAATTATGGGTACTAAACCTCAGTTTCCATGATGCAAGTCATGGATATTTGCTTCTTGTGTCACAAGAAGTTCTGGTCGGGTCAACACGGGGAAGGGAGGGGGTGGTCTTGTTGCTATGGCTAATTTGAAGGAGGGGTGTGTGGAGGGGGCTCACACATGGGTGTCGACGGGTGGAATAAAAAAGCGATGCTAAACAAGCTTTTTATGAAGGTGCTTTACTTTCACGAGAAACAACCTCGCAGCAGAGCAAAATGGGATCGTAGTTCGATTTAATGTGATTCAAACTTGTCAGCAACTGATAAATATTTTAGTATTTAATTTTATTTCTAATATGTTTCTTCATCATAAGGTAGAGAGCTTATTATTTGAAGAACGTTATTTCTGTGCTGTAATTGAAAGGAATGGATTTTAAATGTGTTTCAGCATTGCATACAAGTTAACATATTTATGAACTTTAATTGTCAATAACTTTTTGTAAAGGTTGACTTTGTATTGCTATGACAACATTGCAGACTTATTTATTATCACAGATATAAATTGTAGCCAAGAGATTAAATTATAGTTAGTTGAGCAATGGATAAATCGGTCAATCAGTCACTCAATTCATTTATAAAGAGGGTAAGTTTCTAAAGAAACTGTGGTGCTGCGTGGGTGATGGGAGTTTAACGGGATAATTTTGCGGGTTTTATTAACTGGGTTTGAATGAAAATTGGCCACCGCAAATGGTTTCAAAGCTGACGTTTCGAGCGTTAGCCCTTCGTCAGAGCGTTATCTCTTTGCTCTAACGAAAGACGAGCGTACGAAACGTCAGCTTTAGAAACTCTTTACAATGCAAAGGATATATTATCAATTCAATTGATAAAACTAATTAACTTGTACTACCCCCTCCACCCCCGACGCAATATCACAGTTTCTCCCCCCCCCCTTTTTTTTTAAATTTTTATTTTCATCGAGTTTGTTTGTGAACTGTACATAGACACGCGTTAGTCACAATGAACTTTAAATTGGTTTTATGAGATTTTATCGGCGGTACTATCCTTAAACGGGTATGAGAACAGTTTTCTTAACACTGATATGAATATTAACCCTTTCTTCCCCAAGATCTCGTTAGCAATTCTCCTTACTGTCTACCGTTCTATTCTTATAGTGATTGTTTGAATAATTTGGTACGAGATCAGATGATAATCCCCTTATTGATATCTGTATTTACTCTCATCAGTTGTCTGCTTGATATTATATTGTTATTGTAAGGAGAAATTCTGTCCTGGTCACTCATAGGAGTTAAAGGTTTAAACAGGGACAAGTTTGAAAGATGGTGTATTCAGTGAATGACACTGACATACTCGTAGAAAAAGAACTCTCCGAATTGTGTTTCGGATGCTCTACCTCTGAAGTAAAGGAGACTCGAAGCAGGCTAGGCCGTATAACTTGGTCTATTGTGACAAACTTGCTGTATATTTCTAGGATAGGTATGTCGAATGTGGTACTTTTGCTTAATAATGATGTTAATGAAGATAGTAAATGCTAAGCCTGGCAATTTAATCGAAAGATGATCATTATCTTTCACTTCAATTACCATGTTACAAAGCTTTATTCACTTGTTGATACCCAATCGCAGACGGCATAGCTTTAAAACCGGTTTTTCTTTCTCCAACATATGATTACAAGAGTTCATAATCTCTTGGTGATAAGTGTTGGTGTGGCGATAAGGACCGGCAAATGAAATATCGAGTATCGAAGACGATCTTTGCTCTGTAGGTTCTTTGGATTCGCGCGTCTGTGCAAACTTGACCTACAAGATTCTTATTTCCTTGAGAAAGACTTTACGAAGTCTTATCTCTCAACGTGGAAGGGAGGGGTGGGTCATGGGCAACCTAGCCCCCTCCCCCAAGTTACGAACCGGCAAGGAGAGGAGTGTTTAATCATAATCGGCGTTACTACCTCTGAGTGCCAAGTTTTGCATAGTTATTGAAGAAACCGCGCTTACTTTGTGTCTTAAAGAACAAAATTGCAGCATCATTCGAATGCATCGCCTTAAGTCGCTATTTCGCCAGCAATAAATCAGCGGATTAAGCGCGGAGTTGCTGAATACGAAGCAATCAGTGACTGGAAAAACGTAGTAATGAAATATTTTGTCGTCGAAGAACTTGACAGCTACCAAAGATATCAGCAGCGGAGAGTAACAGGTTAATACGGCTCCCACGATGTACGCAGTTGTTTTTGTTATTTTGCTTTCTCTTGCAATCATTGAAGATTGTGCCATCAACATACGGCTTATTTGGAAATGGTGACGACGAGCTAGCCTAAAGATGCGAATGTACACAAAAATGATAAAGGTGACGAACGTGATGATAAACGAAATCGCTGCTGTGTAGTATTGCGCTGTGCTGAGACCGAAAAAGCGAGAGATCACAAATATTGCCCATGATGCAACGAAGACCCCAGTGAAGATCACAAGTCTTGGAACTGTGATGATTTCTTTGTACTTGAACGTGTAGAACAGCGCGATATATCTTTCGCACGCGATGAAAAACAGAATAAGAAAAGATGTCCCTATCGAAAGATGCCATAATACCCTGTAACAAAGCATTACCCAGCAGTGGTAGCGTTCTTGCAGCTCCAAATATCGTCGGAGGGTATACAGCGGTTGAACGGCGAAGGCTACACAAAAATCGCTCATGGATAGGAGTAAGAGGAGGGTGTTGGAAGCTCTAACGCGCAATTCGCGATGTTTCAGTATCGCTGTGCAGACGAGACCGTTGGCAACCAATGCAACTCCGAATAGAATCCCATTCCAAACAGACACTATGACTGATAGAGTTATCAAAGACTTTGTTTTTTCAATCTTGTGGTATGTCAGGAACAAACATTGTATTAAAGTGTCATTCGTCATGAAGCTGGGTTTTCTTGCGATAGATTTCTTCCTTCTTGTCGCTACAAAAATCTTCCCCTTATAAATTATCTAAGAATTCGTTTTCCTTCGAAAGCAGATTGCAGACAAATCAGTTGTCACATTAAAGGATTTTCCAGTGGTTTTGTAAGAGTGGTTTGTTAAGAATTTTGTTTCTTGTCTATCGGCAATTCGTTTTCCTTCGTGCGCAGTTAGTAGCCGAACTGGTTGCCGAAATTAAGGCTTTTCTCTTGGTTGAGTCAGCTTTGTTTGCAGACAAACCGGTCGCCACAATGAAGGCTTTAGTTGTGGTTGAGTCAGCTTTGTTTGCGAAAAATAATTTCCTTATTGTATTAGACTTTTTATTTCAAGAACTTGCCTACTCTGAGTTGGTGTAGCTGTTTCCTTTTTTCTTTAGAATTCTTTAGGGCCTCTAAACCTTATTCTGTTCCTTGAACACCGTGAAAAGATGAAATATTTTCTAAACTTACTCCACAACCTGATGAAAGCTGTTTTGCCTCCGCAATCCTTTTCGTTGGTGTCTTGATCACGCTGCAGATATGACCGTCACTCGCTTTAACCGTCAAATCGAGGAATATTTTGTCATCTGCTGCCTCGAAGGCCTAAAGTGAGAGAATAAATAGGCCTTTGGGTTGACAGGGGGAAGCTCTAAGTCAAATGAGCCTTGAGGCCATAATCTTTGTGAGAGCTGAGAAAAGGAAATAAATTATGTTTGCACCTGTTTACCGTGGCATTTATTGACGTTGCGAGATCAATAGGAATGATATTTCTTTAAAGGCGTGCACTCAACGTTTCCAAAAGACTACTTCCTATATGTGAGATTTAATATTCAATCTGTTAAGACACAAGAAGTCACCAACAGCAAGTTCATTTGGACTCTGATAATTAGGTTTCCAATGTTGTTTGGCTAAAAACATCCGAACTATTGATTCAAGAGGTAATAACCGCTCTGCGGTAATTACAAAATGTTTCTTTGGGATCTGATCAGTATTGACTTGAATGAAAGTGTTGATGCAATATCATCATAACTATTCTCAAAAACAAGGACAATTGAACTGAGGCCATTTTACATAAAATTTTAATTTTTTTGCCCAAAAAACAAATTTACCACGAAACCTTTGCATTACTTTATATCGTTTTAAAACCTGAAAAATATAATTCATATCTTTTATTTCTGTTTACATTAGTAGCGAGTGTAGTCAAAGGAAAAACAAGATAAGAGACGACTGTTTGTTCAGTTCGATTAACGGGGGTCGAATTCCGAAAAAAAAATTTTACTCTGTTCGAAATTTTGGTGTAGTTCATGGCTGTAAAGAGCGTCACGGTATGTTTAGAAATAAATATTTGAAAACGTTTTTTGGCGAAAGAAATAAAAATAATCTACTTTATCTCTTTATCTCTCAAGGAACTGCCACTTCAAACCTCTCATGGATTTTCCTAGTATGAGATAAAAGGGCAGAAGCGACTCTTCTTTATCAAGTTATTTGCGTATAATTTTGAAGTTTCCGTCCTCCTAGCCAAATGTAAATAGGCTGGGTAAATTTCATTTTAAAACGTTTAGCACAAGTTCTAGTGGACGGTATATTTATCTGTCTGGATTATTAAATGGCAGCTCTTTGTCAGAGCGAGACAGTGTTTGCGTTGCTAAATTACCAAGGAGACCAAAAAAAACAAAAAAAACAAAAAAAAACAAGCTTAGCCCGATTTATAGGGTCTTTCCGAGTTACGTTCGGGATACACACCGTCGCATTACCATCGGAATAAACAGTGTCGCGTTACGTTCGGAATACGCACTGTTGCGTTACCATCCGGATAAACTGTACTGTCACGATTTGCTCGGAATACCCACTGTCGCGCTACGCTCGGGATACAAACTGTTGCGTTGCCATTTGGATACACTGCACTTTCACGCGTAATACACACTGTCGCGTTACGTTCGGGATTCACACCGTCGCGTTATCTTCGGAATGCACACTATCGCATTAAGTTCGGGTTCGCTGTCAAGTTACGTTCGAGAAACACGCTTACGAGTTACAATCGGAATACGCTCTGTCGCAGGTCGTGGGTTTCGAGGTAACGGAGCCTAAGTCGTCTAATTTCTTCCACATTTCATCCCCTTCGGGCGATTTCCATAGACTGCACTCCCAGTTGGATTGATCTTTTTTGAAAATTAAACGTCACAAATATTTTTATTTTTCTAAGTCTATATATGACTATATAACTGTTTTATGACGCGCGATAACGTTGACAACAAGTAGAAAATAATATTTGTGCCTGAAAATTAGTTTATGCTTATAAATCATCTATCTCCCACGAGTATTAACAACTTAGTTCAGCCTTATAAATAAGAGGCAGTTATTTGGTATAAAACTGAATTACATGGTGATGTCACTACTTCATCGGTTGTTATCGATCGGTCAAGCATGGAAAAACGCCATCTTCTGTTCCTCTTTGCTTATCAGCTTTTGTCGACCTAACGATTCCCGAGAGCTAAAAGTTTATTCTCTTAACTGAACTGAGAATTTTGTATTCTGTCTAAACAAAGTACTGGAGTTGATGATCATCACTCTTTCAAAACTTTAAGGAGTATTTATTATGTAATAACCGCTAGTAATTAGGTTGACGTGTTATTAATCTAGACGACAAGCGCAAGGGGTGAATAGGCTTGTGCGACAGTTTTCAGCTCACCCCTCCCTTGTGGGGAAGAACCGTCCATAAGCTACTTCCATGTATGAACTTGATCACGTGTAAAAATTGCGAGAGCGAGAAACTGTTTATGAGAGAATAAACCGATTGTTTACAGTGAGATTAAAATGGAGAAAAACACAAAGCGTCGTCTCGCTAAGAGTATATCTAAGTGTACCCGTCAGTCTAAATACATGCAGCAAGAGTGAACGGTTAATTTTCTATATAGCACTCTTAAAGTCGTTGAAAAAATCAAATTCCTTTCTATTACCATCGCCTGGATCTTCGCCGCTATCTTTCAGGCGCTTTGCAAGAATCTCCCATTGTGGAATTCGGAAACCCTGTGACAGCTTCTCTTTATCGGGAGGCTCATAGTATAGATCTGCCAGTGTTCCTACGCGCTCCCCAAAACAAGAATTCCCTGGGATACGCATTTTAGCTTGGAAAACCAGATTCTCCCCGATGTACCTGATCTCCAGGGTCGACTGTGTAGGAAGAACACTGGAAAGTAAAAAATTTTGGTAGCTGGTAATGGTAACGTTATAGGTCATAATGTTACCAAATACTGGATTAACTTGCTTTACGCGAAATTTTCCAATAAACGGCTCCGGAGAGATAGGAAAGTGGGACTTACGCTGCAATTCAAAAAGAGTTTCGTTAAGTCTTGGAGCAAGGAGGTTATAAAACGACACAGGGGCTTGAAACCCGATTGGCTGACCGTAATATATGGTGCTTCTCAGAATATTTGCCCCGAGAGCCAACTCAGGAATAACTGTGAGCAACGCACTGTAAGTGTCAATGTTGCCACCTTTGGTGCGGATCAAGAAATGTTCACTGAAGAACATTTCAAAAGGGGATCCCCATACTGTCACTCCGTCCGGGGTGATGTCCTTGGGAGTCATCATCTCTCGAAGAGAAGCAGGTTTGAACAGTTTCTGTTTTTCAGGTTGAG